CCTTCTACACCTACGGATGCCTCCGAGAAGGAGATGATGAGTGTCCCATGTGATGAGTATGAGCGGTTTATCCAGACCATGTCTCAACAGAATATAGCTACTCTCGTACATTTAGGTATGGTGCATGATTGGCCCATGTAGATCATAACAAAGACTGATAGTAGGCCCCTCCATACCATAGTGTGTACACCTCCTCACACCATTACCATGCCCTCTACCATGTGCTCTCCTTGAGTCCTGACCTCCAAAACATCCATCACCATGGTTGAACATGGGCCCATTACTTACACCACGACCTAGCTGACTTCCTTGAGCTCCTCCTCTGCCACCACGACCTCCACCTCTAGTTGCTGCAAGGGCAAATCTATCAATTATAGTAGGATGCTCTGGATGTCCAACAGAAGTCCTTTGGACACGAGCAAACACTTCCTCCAAAGTAAGAAGAACAGATCCGCCTAGTATATGCTCTCATTGGTTCATAGTCAGCCTTCAACCCTACTAGAAATCTGGTTACAACAAGTTGTTCTATCTGTTTTTCTGAACTTTGACATCAGATGCAAGGGGATATAAACATTCAATTCATTCCAAAGATTCCTTATACTAGCATAATACTCCTCAAGACTTTGATTTCCTTGTTGTAGATTAAAATACTCTTGATAACCTAATAGAGGTCATCTGCACACTAAGATAATCAAGGGGAATCATAAAATCCAACTCACTAGTACTTCACACCATTTCATTTGCTAACCACCACACTGCACACATGTTTTTTTTTTTCTTTAACCATAACTGTCACTGCAGCCCTGCTGTTTCAGCACCATAGAGGATACCCGAATGCACCAAAAACACATACTACCTATTCCACATTGTATCACCCATATAACCTACTTGTTTTTCTTGTGGTGTGTTTCTGTGTAATACCGTTAAACTGGACACTTATGAGACTCGTGTTAGTTTAGAATGTTCACAGCCGTTGGATAAGTCTGGGGAGATTTATCCTGCTAAGGCTGACATTGGTGTGCTGCCAAATGTCGGGGTGGCCTGTCTCAGCCACCAGGGTGAGACTCAAGGCACATGCAGTGTAGGATTAATTGAATCTTTGAACCGAACCAGATTTTTAGTATTGCCCTGGATCTTGGAGATTGATAAGCAAAACTGGAAAGTTACACCTGACCCCTAGACTTGATTATGATACTACACTAGGTGTCGGATCGGGCTATCTTTGATATGCCAATTAGTGAGATCCTTAGCGGGGGTCAAAACCTGGGTGTGTTGGGACAGTCTGAGAATTCATTTGAGTGGGTAATCATAGTGACAGAATCAGCCCCTTTGTCGGACAAAGGTAATGATCGAGGATGCACTCTCTTTGATGGAAACCAAGACTGCCGGCAGCCGATTTCAATCATCGAGATTTGTTTTTCAAAATATATTTTATATGAGATATAAAAGTATATATATTATGGTTTCCAAACGTTTGCAAAAGGTTTTAATTCCCGGGATCCATGTGAGCAGAGAGTGCAGCACTGTTCCTTGCAGCCGAGGAAGAGGTCCTCTCTTGTCGGGTAGTGTTTGATCATTATGGGCTGAGAGGTTAAGTGTAAGACCNGGGCCCATAGAGCCCATGTGATGGGTTTCAAGGGGTGCACTGTCCATAACAGTGTATTCGGCCAGGCCTTGTAACAAAGGCTAGGCTGAACCCATATGGCTGATGTGTAGATCAATGTTTGGGTCCCACGCCATACAAGGAAGCCCAACTAGGCAGCAGTTTGGAAGGCTAAGTGAGCACATAACTTTATTGGGTCTAAAGCCCATTTTGAACTGGACTGATTTGATCAGTTAAATAAGGGGCGTATTCTGAGATTAGATTAGCAGATAGGATTGGGTCTTGACCTTGTCCACTCAGAGAGTCCAGATCTAAATGTGATTCAGATCTGGAAACCTCCTAATGAGATTAAGAGAAGACTGATCTAATCTGCAGATAAGATAAGG